CTGCACTTATCTATAGATGTCTATTACATCCTGCAGGTTTGGTGTACTTTCTAAAAGAGCACCAAAACTCCTCAATGCACTTTCAGGAAGTGCATCACACCTGCAGGATATAATAGAAGTTCAGCTAACCTAGGAAAGTTGCAGATGCCCCATGCTGCAGCACATCAGTGAAAGCAGCCTTATAGGGGGCTCAGAACAGAAAGATTCAATTACATTTGCAGTTTGGGGTGTAGTAAAACCCCATAGTTAAGACGTGTTTTTACTGCCCCCGCCCCAACCTCACCTCCTTTAGCTGCAGTGTCCAGGGGTGTGCACATGTTACAGCAGGGGTTATACGCCCTGTCGTGGTTGGTGGGTGTAGCACCTGTCTAGCATGACCCATTCAAAAGAATGAGGCTGCTCTGCAAGTGACCTGCAACCTTGTGCAGTAGAGCAAACAAGGGGTTAAAGCAGGCAGCATTGTTTTGCTCTCTCACCACTTGATTTAACCCCGCAGAAGCCCTTGCAGTTTTAGGACTCTTGCAGAGTGGCCCCATTTACTTGAATGGGTCACGATTGGTAGGTAGTATTACCCACCAAAAGCAACAGGGGGTTTACACATTTGTCTGCTGCCTTAGCAGCCAAAGGGGGTAGGGACTGGGTGGTAATTCCATGACTCGAACACAGGGTTTTACCGCTCCCTCAATTTTTACACGTGAATGAGCCCTAAGGGTACCGCTGCCAGATGCAACTAAAGGCTCATGACCAAGAGCAGCAGGCACTGTTGCTCCTCTGATAAGTGATCTGAGTGTGTATGACAGGTAGTGAGGAGGCAATATTTGGCCTCCTCAACACCTAATTTAAACGCATGATTGTCATGCAATGCATACAACTGCAACACAGTAGTATGGCAATTAGAGGTTTAAATCAGGTGTGAGAAGGCAAGAAGGCAAAGTGATCTTTGACTTCTCCCATGTTTTTTATATATACAGTGTTCAAACCGCCCTTGTGAAGTATTGTCACGAATGTCAGAGCGAGAGCAATCATTCTAGCACTAGATCTCCTCTGTAACTCTAAACTGGTAACTTTTAGAAATTTTTAAAGAGTCTCCTATGGAAATTGTTAAGCACCATTCCACAAGCGTGCGCAATTTTAAAGCATGACATATTGAGTATTTACTCGGCATAGCATCATATTTCATATTTTATAAAATTCATTTTTTAATTCATAAAAGTGTTTTTTTTTAAATTGCATTTGAAAAATTGCTGCGCAAATACCATGTGACATAAAAAATTGCAGTGACCGCTATTTTATTTTCTAGGACATCTGCTGCAAAAAATATAGAATGTTTGGGGGTACTATATAATTTTCCAGAAAAAAAATAGTTTACATATATGAGAGAAGTGTCAGAATTGTCCAGGTAAGGAAGTGGTTAAAATTATTGCAGGTTATAAATGTCAACAGCATACCCTAAATTTAATCGAGTGCCCATGCTGACATTGCAATTTTAATCTTTATAAATTAATTTAGAATTTTTATTCAGGATCCCACTACATGTTAGCAATTCTCTAGAGACATTAACAAACATATACACTGTGCCTTATTAAAATATTGCATGATACAGAATTATTACAAATATTATTATTTCTGTTAGGCCTAGAACCTTCTAACTAAAAATAAATTACATTGAAATCCAGTACTTAGTATATTTAGATCATAAGATGTAAACTAGTTAATACCATATTCTGTATAACAATATACAGTACATGCTTATGTAAACTTTATAGCAGAATATTCAGATAGATATTGGGGTAGCACTGCTAAATTAAAATGGACAAGAACAAGGTAAAGTCAATTCTCACTGTTTGGGCAATTTTATTAAACCCTTAATTCTCCTTAATTTATTCCCCCTAAAAAGGAGCTAGGAATGAAGTGTAATTTGCTGGTAATTTTATTTTGTTTCTTTGTAAATGTCAGCACTTTCTGTACATCACAGAGATGTACCCACTAGGCTTTTTTTTTTTTAAGAAATAGAACATTTCAAATGTTTCACTATAAGCATTAAATTAATCCCTGCTCAGGGGTGGACTGACCATTTGGAAACTCGGGCACTGCCTGAGGGCCCGGGGTCAGTAGGGAGCCCCATGAGATGCCCTAGTACCTTTTTCATAGGCTTTTTTGAGTTTGGGCAAGGACACAGGGCCCCAGAGATTCCCTATTGCTCAGGGGCCCCATGAGTTGTCAGTCTGCCCCTGTCCCTGCTTTTACAATTTTTTAGTTTGGCACATGTGTCCCAGGGGTTTTTACAGCCTGAGGTAGACTGTGTGAGACATACAGGGTTAATTTCAGTGCTGTCTAGGATGGCAAGGGAAATAAATCTACATTACTAAGAAATGTGAACAAATTCCTCTTACTAGATAGTCTGCAAAATGGGGTTGTTTTTATTTGCCTTAAGGCCTTAGCAGACTTTCTGCTGGGGTTCCTTCTACCCCCAAGCTCCATAGCAATCACAGCTGTTCAAAACTATGTTAAGATCCAAGAGCCCTCTGTCCTCCATTGATTCATCTTTTCGAAGAATAGAGCTTATTGCAGGGTACATCACATGATAATGCACATACTTCTCATCTTTGCTGAGGCAAGAAGTTGGCATGTGTGATGAGTGCTGTGGATACTGAAAGAATCTCTGTGTAAACACAGGATTCGGGTATCATCATCTGTAGAATTCCAGAGAAGGGCCCTATGAGGGCCAAGATTGAATGGGTAAAACTTAACATCAGACAAGAGCTTTTGACCACTCTTCCTGGGTCATTGTGGTCCAATCAGTGGATTGGCTTTATCACTGTGGTGCTGTGTGGATATTTTCTAACACTGGAGACGGTGCAAGGATCCTCCCTTTGGAACTTGAATACTTTTAAGGAATATTATTTGAACTATTCTGTTTATGATTTTTAGCGCCAATCATATAAACCCCCAGATTTACAAAAATACACCAAAAATCAGAGCATCAGATCTCATTTAACCACAACTAAGGATAAGTCCTGAGCTGTCACCCTGAAATTCCCCTCCATCTCTTCTATACCCTATTGTATGAGTGTCAGGTCATTTTTTCCACCAAGTTCCTTAGTCAACTTGCCAATTGTCTGAGCAGCTCCAGTGATGCACTCTGCCTGAAATTCTGCTGATACAAAACCCTGAGACTAACCTGGAGTCTGTGATAAAACAAGTGACTCAACTTTGCAGCACGCTAACACCTGGAACTGATTATGCTGGGGTATTTAAGGGATGGCCAGACCCAAGACGCTGCCTTTGGTGTGTGTTTGTCCTGGGCCCTGTATCTGTCCTGCATCCTGTTTCTGTTCCTTTGCTGACCCTCTGTACTACGCTGCTTGCTACCTGTCCTGATCCCTGGCTTGTGACCCTGACCATCCCTCTGCTTGACCCTCTGTACTACGCTGCTTGCTACCTGCTGAAGCCCTGGCCTGTGACCCCGACCATTCTCCTCTTGCTCCCCCTGTACCTACCTGCCCAAATTGATATTGACCCGGCCTGCCTGACGACGCTTGCTTATATGTACTGTTATCTGTGGGTGGTTGGTTTGGTTTAGTTTGCACTGTATAATACTGTTTAGTATTGCACTGCGTTTATGTTTGTATTGTATAGTGAGTTTAATAAATTATAGTTGTTTATCCCATATCTGAAGTCTGCGTTTCCCTGCGTCAGTCACACATCTCTGGTCATACCTGGGAGCCCTTTGACATTACACCAAATGCAATCCTGACCAGAAGTGGGCTGCACAGGGAAGCCATCTTGGTTTTGTTGATGGGAAGGATGGATCTGGATGAGGTTGAGTATTTATCTCTGCTAGTGTTTGATGACAGGGAGTATGCTTATCAAACTCTGAAGGAGTATCCCCGGGATGAACTGCTAGAATGTATACGGCTCGCTCATGTTCTAGTAGATCAGGGCACAGAGTTCTCTGAGGTGCAGTCTTTGATTGAGGTTTGTGCAGAGTTGGTTTCATCTGGTTCCCCCGAATGCAGGGATGAATTTTTGCCACCATTTTTTAGTGCAGACCAGTTAGAGTCCCTGGTGTTGGTTATTAGAGGATGATTGTGGGTTACTTTTCTGGAGCGTTATTCCACATGTTTCACACAGACACTAAGAGTTTGTATAAAACGCAGTGCATCATTGACCAATGACAGGCTTTGTATGTAAGCTCAGCTCCCCCCCTTTTCTTTGTTCAACCCCTACTGCAGACATGGGACAGACGTTTTGTTGCACCCAGCCTCAGCTCAGCTTACAAAAACCCAGTCCTGCTTCTAACTCTTCTCCTGTATTCCCAGCAGCTCCTCAGTTACAGCCCAGTATACTTGGCTATCTACCGCATGTCAGTACCCTGTTCTCTTTTTACGCTGCTGCACTATCCTGCCTTTAACCCTGTAAAAAAGCCCTCTGTAGCAACTGCTATCCCTCTCCTGTTCCATCCTCCAGTTCTTCTCTGTCTCCAGCTGCTCCATTCGTTTGCAGACCTGCGTTTACTTGCAGTGCTCCAGTAGTTAAAACCAAAAAAAGCGAAAAATTCTTTCCAACCAATACCATTCCCTGCCAGTATCCAAACTGGTGAACCTGCCTTCCGTAGGTTCAGCCTGAAGCCTCTACTCGGCCTGAAGCTCTTACTCGGCCTGATGCCTCTAACTCGGCCTGATGCCTCTACTCGGCCCTGAAGCCTCTACTCGGTCGGACGCCGGCATTCAGCCTGATGCCTCTACCCAGCATGATGAACTGATCTAGCCTGATGATTTTATTAGGCCAGTTTGACTCGATGCCCGCTGTTGATCCAGATGATCCGGTACCTGATCCGGTGCTCGCTGTCGTGCCAATTGACTCAGAGCCCGCTGTCGTACCTGGTGACTCGGTGCCCACTGCCTTGCCAGATGACGCGGTGCCCACTGGCGAGCCAATGACCTGATGCCTGGTGACCCAGTGCACCGCTGTCATACCTGGTGACCCGTTGCCATGATGCCCGCTGTCGAGCCAGACGATCCAAATGCCTGGTGACCCGGTTTGCCCAACTGCCTTGCCAGATGACGCGGTGCCCGCTGGCAAGCCAAATGACCTGATGCTGGTGACCCAGTGCCCGCTGTCGAGAGCCAGACAATTCCGGTACCTGATGACCGGGCCCACTGTCGTGCCTGTTGATTCGGAGCCCAATGCCTTGCCAGATGACGGGGTGCCCGCTGTTGAGCCAATTGACCTGATGCCTAGTGGACCCGATGCCCGCTGTCCAGTCAGACGATCCAATGTGCTGACCCAGTTGCCCGCGGTTTTACCAGTTGACTCGGGAGCCACTGCCTTGCCAGATGACGCGGTGCCCGCGTGTTGAGCCAAATGTAACATGATGCCTGGTGACCCCGATGCCCGCTGTCCAGTCAGACGATCCATGTCTGACCCAGTGCCCGCGGTCATACCAGTTGACTCGGAGCCCACTGCTTGCCAGATGACGCGGTGCCCGCTGTTTGAGCCAAATTGACCTGATGCCTGGTGACCCGATGTGGCCCCGCTGTCAGTCAGACGATCCATATGTCTGATTGCCCAGTGCCCAGCGGTCATACCAGTTGACTCGGAGCCCACATGTCCTTGCCAGATGACGCGGTGCCGCGTGTTGAGCCAAATGACCTGATGCCTTTGACCCCGATGCCCGCTGTCCAGTTCAGGAAGATCCAATGTCAGGACCCAGTGCCCGCGGGTCATACAGTTGACTGTCGGAGCCCACTGCCTTGCCAGATGACGCGGGTGCCGCTGTTGAGCCAAATTGACCTTGATGCCTGGTTGGACCGATGCCCGTGTCCAGTCAGGACGATCCAATGTCTGACCCAGTGCCAGCGGTCATGCTGGTGACCCGGTGCCCACTGCCTTGCCAGATGACGCGGCTGCCCGCTGGCAAAGCCAAACTCGACCTGATGCCTGGTGACCCAGTGCCCGCTGTCGAGCCAGACAATCCGGTACCCCCCCCCGTTGGATGACCCGGAGTTTGGTGCCCACTGTCGTGCCTGTTGATTCGGGAGCCCACTGCCTTGCCAGATTGACGGGGTGCCCCTGCTGTTGAGCCAAATGACTGATGCCTTGGTTGACCCGAATGCCCGCTGTCCAGTTTCAGACGATCCCATATTGTCTGACCCAGTGCCGCGGTCATAACAGTTGACTCGGAGCCCACTGCCTTGCCAGATGACGCGGTGCCCGCTGTTGAGCCAAATGACCTGATGCCTGGTGCCTGGTGATCCGAATGTCTGACCGAGTGCCCGCTGTCACCAGTCAGCCCACTGACTGGCCAGATCCAATGTTTGAGCCAAATGACCCAGATGCCTGGGTGACCACGCGATGGTCATGTCCATTCAGACGATCCAATGTTGACCGGAGCCCACTGCCTTGCCAGATGACGCGGGTGCCCGCAGTTGAGCCAAATGACCTGTTGCTGGTGACCCGATGCCCGCTGTCCAGTCAGACGATCCAATGTCTGACCCAGTGCCAGCGGTCATGCCATGTTGATTCGGAGCCCACTGTCGTGCCCAGATGACTCGGCGCCCCGCCGCTCTGCCTGAGGGCCCGAGACCTGTTGTTGCTCCACCTGGGGGTCCGGCGCCTGCCGCTCCGCCTGAGCGGGCCCGAGACTCTGTTCGCTCCGCCTGGGGGCCCGTGGACCTGTTGAGCGCCACTGGGGGTCTCCATCTTGGGCGCCCGCCGCTCCGCCTGAGGGCCCCGAGTCAACCTAGTCCGCAGCCACTGCCTGGGGGTCCGGCGGCCCGCCGCTCCGCCTGAGGGCCCAAGACCTGTCTGGCTCCACCTGGGGGTCCCGTGCGCCCGCAGACGCTCCGCCTGAGGGCCCGAGACTTTTGTCGGCTCCCACCTGGGGTTGTCCGGTTGCCCGCCGCTATCTGCCTGAGGGCCCGAGGACCTGTGCTCCATCTGGGGGTCCGGCGCCCGCCGCTCCGCCTGGGGGCCCGAAGACCTGTCGCTCCGCCTCTGGGGGCCCCGAGACCTGTCGCTCCACCTGGGGGTCCGGCGCCCGCCGCTCCGCCTGAGGGGCCGAGACCTGTCGCTCCGCCTGGGGGCCCGAGACCTGTTCACCTCTTTCCCTGGGGATCCGGCGCCCGCCGCTCCGCCTGAGGGCCCGAGACCTGTCGCTCCACCTGGGGGTCCGGCGGGGGCCCGCCGCTCCGCCTGAGGGCCCGAGACCTGTCGCTCCACCTGGGGGTCCGGCGCCGCCGCGCCTGAGGGCCCGACTTGTCGCTGCGGGGTCGGTGCCCGCGCTGGAGGCCCGAGACCTGTCGATTCCATCTGGGGGGGGTCCGGCCGCCCGGGGGGCCGCTCCGCCTGGGGGGCCCGAGACCTGTCGCTCCACCTGGGGGGGTCCGGCGCTCCGCTCCGTACGCTGAGGGGAGACCTGTCGCTCCGACTGGGGGCCCGCCGCTCCGCCTGAGGGCCGAGACCTGTCGGTGCTCCACCTGGGGGTCCGGCGCCCGCTCCGCTCCGCCTGGGGCCCGAGACCTGTCGCTCCATCTGCTGGGTCCGGCGCCCGCCGCTCTCCGCCTGAGGGCCTGCTACCTGTCGCTCCCTGGGGGTCCGGCGCCCGCCGCTCCGCCTGGAGTCCTGAGACCTATTCGATGCCTGCCTCTGCCCGGGGTCCGGCGCCTGCGCTCCGCCTGAGGGCTTCGGGCCTCTGCCTGCTGCTCTCGCCGGAGTCCAGCCCGATTGTGCCTCTGCTCCGGAGTCCAGCCCGGTGCCTGCTGAGTTCTGCCTGGTGCCTCTGGTTATCCGATGTGCCTCTGCCCGGAGTCCAGCCCGATGTGCCTCTGCCCGGAGTCCAGGCCCGATGTGCTCTGCCCGGATGTCTGCCCGATGTGCTTCTGCCCGGAGTCCAGCCGGTGTGCCCCGATGTGCCTCTGCCCGATGTTGTCCATCCAGCCCGATGTGCCTCTGCCCGGTGTCCAGCCCGATGTGCCTCTGCCTGGTGTACCGCTGCCCGGAGTCCTGCCAGGTGTGCCAGTCTTTGATATCCCGCCAGTTACCAGACCCGGGGGCGGTGGAACATTTTTCCCAGCTAGGACTGTTTGGAGCGTCCTGAGGCCGCTCCTTGGGGGGGGGGTACTGTCAGGAATGGACTGGCCAGCAATGGTGGGACTCACCTGCCTTTTGATCTGCAGTACCAGGGCTGGCCAGCGGGTGCTCCCAGCAATCAGAGGACTCAACTTTTGCAGCCAGCTAACACCTGGAACTGATTATGCTGGGGTATTTAAGGGATGGCCAGACCCACAGACTCTGCCTTAGTGTATGTTTGTCCTGGGCCCTGTATCTGTCCTGCATCCTGTTCTGTTCCTTTGCTGACCCTCTGTACTACGCTGCTTGCTACCTGTCCTGATCCCTGGCTTGTGACCCTGACCATCCCTCTGCTTGACCCTCTGTACTACGCTGCTTGCTACCTGCTGAACCTGGCCTGTGACCCCGACCATTCTCCGCTTGCTCCCCCCCCTGTACCTACCTGCCCAATTGATATTGACCCGGCCTGCCTGACGACGCTTGCTTGTATGTACTGTTATCTGTGGGTGGTTGGTTTTGGTTTGTTTGCACTGTATTATGTTTAGTATTGCACTGCGTTTATGTTTGTATTGTTAGTGTTAATAAATTATATTGTTTATCCCATATCTGAAGTCTGCGTTTCCCTACGTCAGTCACACATCTCTGGTCATACCTGGGAGCCCTGACAGCCACAAAGAATTAGGGCAACACAATATCAGAGAGCCCACACTAGTATTTCAAAGGCACTTTTAAGTCTTTGTGGCTACCCTCTAATTTTGTCATCTACTTATCATAGCCCAACCAGGTATTAAGGTAGAAACTACAGATTGTATACCCACACCACATTTTTTGTCTTCATTGAAGAACCATTATAATTTATTGTAAAACATTATACCCTTTATGCCCAGTGCTAGTAATACCATATTCCAGTTAGGCCAGACCCTTTCAGACAACTATCACTGTATCAGAATTAAAAAACATTTCTGGGCTTGATTCTAAACAGGGGGATCGCAAAAAATCAACTTCAGTCATTTTAGTCTATGCTTTATATCTACCACATCCATTATTCTTTAGCCATATCAAATCATAATGAAAATGTTGCATTTTAGTGACAATCATCTATGCCCTCCCAGAAGGGACTCCACATATGATAGGCCCCACAAAATTAGACCACATCATTTTATTTCCAAAAAATAATCAGAATGTATACATCACAGAAAAAAGTCTGTGTTGGTGAGTCCCTTGTGCATTTCACAGGCAGACTTAAACTAAATCAGCATATCCCAATGAAAGTGTCAAGTATTAGAATGTTTTCTCTCTCAATTTTCCAAAAACGTGTGGCAAAAAAACAAACAAAAAACACTTAAGAAGACTTATCATACATCTTAACAATACTTTGGGGTGTCTGCTTTCCAAATGTACTGTTTTTCTACTGTCAGAGTACCTGAGGGCCTCCAAAAAAAGTGCTAGATGTTCAGGAATGTTAATAACTAATCCACTTAAAAGTTTGAAGGTGCTCCTTGGATTTTGTATCTCTCCCCATGCAGCTAGACTGTGAAAAAGTATCATACATGTGGTATCCCCATACTCACGAGGAGTTGCACAATGTGTCTTGGGATTTATTCTAAGTATGCCCAAGCTGTGGGTAAGGAATATTTTATTACAATGACAACTTTGTGTACAAAATTAATTTTCTTTTTTTTATCTTAAAAACTTGTGCCAAAAAAATAAATATTCAAAAGATTCAACATGGCCCTTAGCAAATACCATGGTAAATCTAGTTTCCAAAAGGTGGTTGCTTTGCTGATGTTTCTAACATTGAGGCACTAAAGCATCTCCAAAAATGTGATAGGTAGTTCAGACATCACATGCATAAGTTATGCCCTTGAATGTTGGGCCCCTCTCTGAAGCTAAGCTGCATAAAAGTGTCACATATCTGGCATCCCCATACTAAGGTGGAATTGCAGAACGTGATTTGGGGTGTAAGTTTAACCATTGTGTGAAAAAAAAAAAATTTAATTTTTCACAAAACTTGTGGCAAAAAAAGTAAATTTTTAAAAGGTTCACTGCGCCTTATCAAAAGTACCTTGGAGTGTCTAGTTTTCCAAACTGTGGTCAGTTTGTGAGTGTTTCTATTGTGCTGGCATTTCAGAGCCTTCAAAAGTGTGATAGGTAGTTCAGGAAATCAGATGAGTAATTTATGAAAACCTTGAGGATGTTCCCTGAATTTTGGACCCCCCTATGTGGCTAGGCAGCAAAAAGTCTCACACATGTGGAATCACTGTTCTGATAGTTTATACGAGTAGTAGAAAATGTGTGTTTCAGTTATAAGTATGATAAATATGATGGATGGATCATAGTACATTGTTATGTATCAATGAATGAGTTGCAATGTCTGCAACAAAATTACTATAGTTACCTCAAGTGTCAAAAAGAATTTTCCACTTCAGTGCATGCATGAAACTGGTTGTACAGGCAGTTGTCATATGTACTGTAGATAATCCCTTTAAAGAAAAAGTGAGAAATATTATTCCACCGAGTCAAAATACTGTTAGTTAATATTCTTTTAACTTATTTTGCTCACATATTGTTTGTCCCCATATACTGTTTAAAAATAAAAGTGATAGAGATTCTACTGTCAGCTAATTTTTAATGGATATACAACTTGTCTTTTTCTCCATGAAAAATGATCTATTGAGGTAAAGTACTAAATCAGGCACTCAACCATCTTGTTTACTTTAACATCCACACAGCTTTTTACTGAGAAAAGCAGATATATTAACTCAAGAAATGAACTTCTAAACCCAATACTTTCCTGTTTCTGAAATTAAAATGAAGCTCTCAGAGTTGTATACGGGGTTTTTACATCACTGTTGTATTTACCTCTGTTGTAATATTATTGCACAATTTTTGATTATTGACAAGTGATAATTTAGGTCCAAAGTAATGATCTGCATGTTGTTCTCAAACCAAATCTATCAAACTGGTCATGAATTTCATATACAGGCAGAAGATTCCAGGCTGAAGATTAAAATGAATATTTTACAGTACTGTAAAATGGAAGTCAGTTTGTTATTTGCATTAACTCAAGGGACACATTGAGATGGAACATAGTTATTTGAGATAAACTATCTGCAATGGTTCAAGTGAGTGTAAGCCAATATACAGTGTATATATATATATATATATATATATAGATGACCAGAGACTGCGGACATAGTACAGGAGTTGACCAGAGACTGCGGACATATACAGATACAGGACTGTTGACCAGAGACTGAGGACATATTACAGGAGATGACCAGAGACTGCGGACATAGTACAAGAGATGACCAGAGACTGCGGACATAGTACAAGAGGAGAATGACAAGAGAGGCTGCGGACATAGTACAGGAGATGACCAGAGGATATAGACATAATCCCATAGATGATCAGAGACTGCGGACATAGTACAAGAGATGACCAGAGACTGTGGACATAGTACAGGAGATGACCAGAGACTGCAGACCTTTGGGGATCCTGATTTGACAGGTACTCGCTCCCACTTCAATGGAGTTGTCCTCCCCGTAGTCTTGTGGGACACGGGACAGGTCCCAGAAGACTACAGGTGGCCATTCACAAAGCACAGCGCTTCTCGCGCACGCGCAGTGGGCACCCAGCTGTGAAGCCGCAAGCTGTCACAGCTGGGTGCCCACACTGAAGATGCCGGTGTCGGGGAGAGAAGACGACCGGTGAAAGCAGGACACCGCTGGACCAAGGAACAGGTAGAACCAAAGAGCAGGTTCTTCTGCACAGTAGAGCCGAGCAGGCGGCCTGGTATTCTAACATGACTGCGGAGGGAATACCAGCCTGGCCGCTCCATATTCGCTCCATAAGATGCACACACATTTCCCCCCCATTTTGGGGGGGGGTGTATCTTATGGAGCAAAAAATATGGTAAGTGACCACTGAAAACCAATGCTGACAATTCCCAACTCTACTAACCCCAACATTAGGATATTATTACTTCGACTGACACTTAGGATGGAGCATACTTCACTGGAATATTTTCACTGGAACTAGGGCATTTTACCTAGCACCATCTACTGACACTGGGCATTTTTCCTCCCACTGACAGCTAATGTATGATCGCTGTACTCAATATGCTAAGTTGTATGTTGCATACCCTGATCCCTATACTCTGTACATTTTCCTAATTAAAATGTTTATTGTTTCAACAGTTGCTGTTTGCTCAGTAGTCTTCAACTATTTTAATGAAGTTCTCTTTTAAGGTATGCTCATAAAATACATTGCATTTATTTCTATAGTTTGGGAGCTGAAAATGTTTGTTGCATAGCACTTTAATGATATTTTGTGGGTAGAACATCTGGTTAAAATATGTTCAGTATATTCAGTGAAAGTTCTATTTAAGCATGCCCCTTTTGGCCACTTCTGCTGTTCAGGTTGATACGTAAACATATGCTGCTCACCATGGCATATTATTTTCTCCACAGCCTTCCTCTCTTGTACTCAGGGGTGTCAAAGGTCTTTTACTATTTTGTCATTACTCCTGATCCTCCACCTGAGTGTAATTGCTAAGCAGCTAATTAAAGACTGAAAATGTCTATCACAATTTAAACATACTCTATACAAATGGTAATTTCAAACCAGGAATTTACTAGAACCACATTTTGATTCCCACATTTTATATTCAACTTAGACCCAGCTTTCTCCAAAGCCACTCCTTTTTCAGGTACAGCAGTGGAAATTTCTTGGCATGGTTGCACTATATTACTTTACCTACTTGAGAGCTTATTTTACCTTAGCATGGTTGTAATAATGTACAAAGTTAACTTCATATGAATGATAAGTAAAACATCTTCATTTGCTTCATTTGCTCTTTAGACAGTGTCACAAATAAAGTTCTTTACAGTACAACATAGATGCTATCATGTCCAGAAACATCACAATAAAGTTGTTTAATAGTACCACATAAGTAGATGCTACTACAAACACAGAAAACTAGCTCTTCTCAGGCATTAGTATTATTACACAACATATCTAACAGCACTGAAAAAAATTAAGAAGAACAATGAGAAAGGAAGGAAATAGACTACTATACATTTTTTATTCTACATATCCCTTACTCTTCATTCTATGTTTGACTAGTAGTGCGCAAACTTATCAACTGTGCTGTATTTAGGCATACATACATACCTGAATGACACTGACCTTTCATACAAGCTCCTCCCCTTTTGTCATGTGATTATTTTAGTAAAAAATATAGTAGGTATAATGTGCTATTGGAGGCAGCATAGAGTCGGCTTTATATAAGGAGATAGTTTTTACCTGTACAGACAAGGGAAATTAAAGTTGGTTTTATGTTGTGAACTATTAAGAAACTTCTCCCTCCTCTCAACATTCCTTTCAACCTCACTCACTTACAATTTTCTTGATGAAAGTGTAATACTATGCCTGTTACCCTAGGAAGTGGGTCAAAAGGAAATCAGTTTGAGGGCTCAGTTGCATTGGTGTATTAAATGACCACACTCACTTCCCACTCCCCTTTTCACTTAATTTTTTATCTATATTGTTTCCCTGTTTATCTCTCCATCTTCCCTTTCTTTATAACTGTCCTTGACTGTGAAAGAGCATAGGCCCAAACCCTAATACTATGTTTTCCCAGAACCTTGCCCAATAACAACACTCAGACGTGTTAAGTTGGAAGGGCAAGACCAGAGCTTTATTGAATTTCATTTAAGCAGTTTTCAACCATAAATATTAAACATTAAACCTTAAATATTAAACATTAACCTTAAACACAGACCTAAACTGGTCTAACTTCCACTGAATGGCATAGCCCTTTAAAGGAAAACTTTTCACTGGCATGGTAAAACCGCCACCAGCGAGTCAGTACTTAGCTGATGAGCGCCCCAACACAGCCAGTGCCCTCTCAATACCTCCTTGAAGGCCAAGATTAAAGATGTCAAGTCCAATGTCATTCAAATGGATGATGTCAGAGCACAACAGATTGGCATTGTCGCCTTCTAACTCCCTGTGCTGTACCACTACGCAGTCAACATGGTGGACAAATTTGGAGACCTGTGAATTGACCTTATGTCAATAACGTTCCAGGTAAGGGCCAGCCAGGTATCTTGCAGGCCCAGATTAAATGAGGAACTATGACTAAGTTCGTAAAGACAGCACTACAGTGAATGATGTCTCGCTTGATAGCAGAAATAAAGTCCACTGAACGGGTGTAACCCACGTCATTACCCCCTGCATGAAGGACAAGTACAATGGGATCAGAGACAGATTGGCAAAGACATAGGCATTTTGTTAGTATTGTTGACTAGGTCAAGTCATGGATTCCACGCCAACGGATTCTGACAATATTGGTCAAGAAGCCCAAATTCCAACTGTAGTGTCAAAACTCAGCACTTTGTAAGACCCAATAAACAAATGAGTCTCCAATGATCCAAACCATGAGATGGCAGGGCACCTGAAATTATAATACAAGGTGTGGTTGGACATACAAGGAAAAATAAATGGATTCCCATCTGCCCAAACACTGCAACTCAAGATTTGAAAAATTCATACCGGAAGCGACAGTAGCCACACCTATCCAGAATGAGTGTGAAGAAAACTCCAATGGGAGGAGACTCAACCTACTGAGGAAAATCGGGAAGACCCTGAGAAACTGCAATATGCTCAGGTTAGAAGAATTCACATGGACCATAAAAAAAACCGGCTGGGTGGGGGGGGGTCGTAGAAAAATGAGCAGCCAAAAATATGGGGCCAAATAGGGTAAAGGACAATCCTTTTTCCTTTGCCAGTCTGGTCAGTTTTGGAGGTGTGAAGGAGGATGGTAATGTATTTGGCCGAAATTGAGACGTCCTTAACCCTAAGGCCCCCAGGCGACTGTTTGCATAGTGAAACAAGTTCGCCAATGCGGAAGGCACCAAAAAACGCCCACAAAAAGGCAACTTGAAAGAACAGGAACTCATAATCAGGAAAACAGATGGCAGCACTGAGAGGATTCCAATGAGAACATGCAAGGAAACCGGGCACTGGAGATCAGGGGCCTGGGCGGTCTGTCTCCAACCTTTTAAAATTTGTCAGATGAAAAATTCCTTTGTAGCATCCTCCCAACCAAATAACTGAAACCAAAACTACAGGAAATGAAATGCAGAGCCCACCGTTGAACCCAATGCACCTTTTTCTGTGGAGCTACATGAGGTATGAGAACAAGGCTAGGCACCTGTCCTGTGAGGAGGAGATGGAAAACTCACCGGTTAGTGAAGATACCCAATCATCCCAGACCTGGCAATACATCACCCACATACTATAGATGTGAAAAGGGAAGCCAGGAGAGGTTCTAGAAGGAGTCAGAAACCAGAGTCCACAAAAAGTTCAGGCAGGGAGTACCCTCCTGTACAGCCGCTCGGGCAAGGGAGCAGAAACGCGAGAACTGAAAACAAGAAAGGGCATCAGCAATATTATTTGAAATACCAGGGACATGCTTGCCTTAAACCAAATATTTATTTGTAAATATTTAAGCACTAGGAAACACAATAGGGGCTGATCACATGAACCGCACTCACATTGTCTGTTCAAAACACCACCCGTCTGTTCCTCTGCTTTTCCCCCACAGTTTGACCACCACAATGATCTGCTCATACACAACTATAGATATCCCCCAAAATTCCAATAGGTATATTTAAAAGATACGATGCACATTCATCAATAATCACCCACAGTAATCTAGGGGTCCATCAACACAGACACTATGTACAAGAACAAAGCCCAATTAAAGCCAATCCACAGAAATATGTAATATGCCACCAATACATCTAGACTACCCCAGCTGAGTGAACTCTTGAACCACTATATTTCTTATCTATTTCCTCTGTTACTACATATGCTCTTACCTGTCTGTACAGCACTAATCATTGGAATTGTATTTGTGATTGGGCCTTGTATTTTTTTCACTTTTTCTTAAATAAATAATATAAAAAGAGAATGTAGTTAAAAGTGAAACAAACTCAACCACGATAAAGGGAATCTGTTGCTTAAAAAAATCCAATAAAATGTGCCTGCAAAAGTAGTCTCTGAATGTTTATCACTTCAGGAGGCAGCAAATTTGGAATAACAGCTGTAGTGGCTATCTTAGGCAATAATATATGTTAAAGCCATGTTACTTTCTTGCACTTTGTCATAAGATCACTACTCTGTCAGCCACTTTAATGAAGTTGAGACCACACAAGGCAAAAAACAGAAGATGGTGCCTAGTTGTAAAACTATTTGAGTTCTTTCAGCAATAATGATAATGAATGAACATAGAGGTCACAAAGTTCCCTGTCTGAGTCCATTATCTGCAAATAATAGTGACAGAAAGTTAGGGAAGCAGAAGAAGACTTTATTCATTGCATACCACATTACAGGAATTTCTTATCAATGTTTGACATATACACATAGGTTCAGTCAGTGTTCTGAAAGATTTGTTTTATTCATTCCTGCAGATGTAGAAATACAAATGGAAAAGTAGAAAGAACCTGCATTGGCAAATATTCATGTGGTCCTTTCATTAAAGTGCCAGTGAACCTTTACAGAGAGATGTAGTTCAGTGGCAGCTCAAGTGCCTAAGGTTGTTCATCCAATCTATGCTGTAGATCATGTATTCTGTAAGAGTATTGTAATAATGTACTTTTTGCTCTCATTTTGAAAGGTCTTAGCAATATTTTATTTTAGTAACATTCTTGAGCCTTTGGTAGATTCATTGAGATATAAAACTAGAACATTTATAGTTTGCAACTCCAGCTCTAAAGAATGAT